TTTCATAGCCGTGCCTTGGAAGTTCCTGGCCATCATCAAGATAATACAGTGATACAATTTAGCATACTGGTTCCTTGTGAAATTTCTGTAAAATGGCTGGGGAAAAATATTTTTAACAAAATAATTTCATGCCAAAATTTATTTCGCTTTGGGGAACTCACCATGTCTGTATCTGAAACTGGTCCAAAGCTGGTCACATATATGTTTGTGAAGACTTCAGTTGTACTGTCTGGCATAAGAAAATAAGAACAAGTGTGAGGATGTAGGTTTCTCCCTTTTTACAAGTATGCTGAGAAAGGTCCTATGGTGTATTTTCTTCAATAAATGCAACAATAAACAAGCATTTTTTTATTATTATTATTAAATACAGACGTGAGTAACTTGGTGGTCACTGTAGAAACCAACCCTAAAATTGGACCCAGTTAAAATTCTGGACTTCTTGTTGCAAGAAACTAACAGCCTTAAAATATCATATTTGCATAAATACATTGAAAAGCAAATCACCCCAAAGGCCAATAGATAGGTAGACTGCATTCATGTTGTTCTGTATCTCTTAACTCAGAATGTGAGATATCTAGGGATAGCTTTCTTAAAATGTTGTAGAAATCACAATATTTTATATAATTATTTTGGGTTCTAGCTTTTGAGATTCAGAATATGTATTTACTATAAGCATATGCCTGGAACAGTAGGAGATGGAGCCTTACTTTTAAAGTAAAATTTAGGAAAATCAACAAGAGACCAAATATGGCAGAAAGGTAACGTGAGCATGTTTCCTCCCTTTCAGGGTACAGTTGAAAAATTCCAGACTTTTTCTCACTCTCAGATGCTCCAGTTTAGATTAACATATTTCCCATTTTAACCAACACCAAAATAATTTTCAAGTCTAGTTAGGGCACTATTATTATTATTATTATTATTATTATTATTATTATTATTATTAACTATTAGTTTAATTCAAGCAAGAAAACTTACAAGCTAATTTTCCTCATTAATGGCTATTTAAGCATCACACACTTTTTTGGATTTTGGACATAACATAAATGCATTAGGTCAAAGGCCTGTCCAGTCCGGTATCCTGTTCTCGCTATGGCAAATAAGACGCCTGTGGTTGTCCGCATGCAGGACTGCGTGTAAAAGCAGTTGTGATTCCCAGATGCTGGCATTCAGAGACACATTGACTCCAACAGTGGAGATAGAAGAGATCCATCACGTACACTTTGCATCATACTGCAATACAATTACTCTATCTAAACCACAGCTTTTTACATGTTTACAGACTGAGCTCCCCCCCTTCCTCTTCCTCCAGATATTCATGTACTCCTTTGCACACTTAGCTCCTTCAAAAATGAACTGTTCTATTTCCTTCTATTGAGGGGGAAGCTCTGTTTATGCATCCATAGGCAGCTGGTGAGGCTCTGCCGAAGAAGCAGAATTCATGCCTACACAGATCCACTAATCAAGATGTGAATGTTGGCTTTTAAAAAGACTCTCCTCCCTGGAAGAGAGGGGAGTGGTTGTGGGCGGGAGCCCAAGCACCGCCCCTAGCAGGGGGCATAGCCCCCTGCCTCCACCTCACCTGGCTGGCGCCCACGCCCCTCGGGAGGCATCCAACCAGGTGCCTCGGAGGGGGCGTGTTCAGCAGCCTTTTGCTGCGGCGCCAGCCTCTCCCCGGCCTCATTCTTCGCCGTCATCTCGTTGCGAGTCACCCACCCTCCACTCCCTTAGAGTTAGGGCTTAGGTCATTGGCCTTGCTATGGACCTTAGGTTGGTCGCCCTGGTTGTCTAGGGGGCCTGGTAGGAGTTTTTCCATTTGGCATTAGGCTTTTTGGTTTTTTCGCCTACCTCGTAGCAATCGTCACAACTTTTGTGGTATTGGTGGGTAGGTTAGGCATTGGAATAATGTGGTGTGTCGAAGGGCTAGGTGTGGCCATCGCCTATGCCTTCAATTTTTGGGTATTCCGTTAAAGGAATCTGGCGGTCGTGTGTTCTGTCCGATGCCTGCTTGGCGGGAGGCCATAGCACGACCCTCGGTAACATCAGGGGGGAGCCTATAGTTGGATTAGCATCAACAGGCTCCACCTACTGGTGAATAAACCCACTCATTTTAGAGACCCAGTGCCTAAGCCAATACCTTTTTCACTGCTGTAATCAATAAAGTTGTGGCCTTTCCATGCCCATTAACCTTATATCATGTGTCCTTGTGTATTCATTTCGCATCGCGGGGGTCGGGTCCTCGAACCACAATACCTGTTGATGCTTCCTCAAATATTTGAAACAAAGGTAGAAATAAAATGGGAACCCTACATTTTATTAAAATGTAATGTAAGATAAATATTTATGCTAGTGAGAAGGTAAGATTTCAATTACAGAAAGAGATGTTGCTATGAGGTAGATACACAGAGAAAAGCAACTCATCATTTTACATGTAGCTTGGTGAAACTGATGATAAGACTTAGCTAGCACTGACAAGTCACATTGACCATTCTAGTTGGGATTCTTGGTTCCATTCATTTTTTGAGCTTTTACTTTTTCTTTATCCTCCCTTTTTTCTGCCTTTGTTGTTTATTTTCACTCAGCATACCCTCCAACACTTCTCCGATGAAAATAGGGATGTTCTATTCAATAATAGCAATAGCAATAACAATAATACAGCAATAATAATAACAACAATAATTTTACTATTTATACCCCACCCACCTGCTTGTGTGTTGCCCCAGCCACTCTGGGCGGCTTCCAACATATATGAAAACATAATAAAACATTAAACATTTAAAAAAAAATCCCTATACAGGGCTGCCTTCAGATGGCTTGTGGGGAGGACAACTCCATCCTCACGAACATTTCTCCTACCATGCCCTCCAATACTTGTCTGTTGAAAATAGGGATGTCTTAAGGAAAAGCGGGACATTCTGGGATCAATTGCCTTTATCTAAACCTTTTTCAGTTTGGAGTCATTCCTTTGAGTTGAAGCAATCTAAACTGCACACAAGAATGAAGTTTTCTGTAGTGAAAGGAGAATCCCAGTCCCTAAGTTTAGGAAGCAGCTAATCTAAATGGTAAGATAAAATGACGTTATACCTAGGCAACAACTATAGAGCAATTCCCTTCTCCTCTACCTGCCCATGGAAGGGAATAAAAATATCCTTGTTGGAAACAGGCATGCATAGGTGTTTCTTTAAAGCATGCCACAGTTTTCTTATCTTTGTACACAAATAACTGATTAATTCCTTTCCCAAAGATGCCAATATATTTGCACTTATCATATGGGAGCCATAAATGAAATGAAGAGTATTTGTATAATCTATGATAGTTCATTAGCACAGAGAAAACGTTCTACACTAGCAGCTGTACAAAGTGTTAGGAAATGTATGAAAATGGCAATAAAGGGCGGGAGGGAAGAATGGAGCACAAGAGACTGTGAAATCTGTCTTCTCCTGTAGGCACAGTTCACAGTACTGCTTAACAACTGGATAGGGACGTGGGAGGCGCTGTGGTCTAAGCCACTAGCCTCTTGGGCTTGCCGATCGGAAGGTGGTGGTTCGAATCCCCGCAATGGAGTGAGCTCCCGTTGCTCTGTCCCAGCTCCTGCCAACCTAGCAGTTTGAAAGCATGCCAGTGCAAGTAGATAAATAGGTACTGCTTTGGTGGGAAGGTGAACGGCATTTCTGTGTGCTCTGGTTTCCGTCAAATTTACGTTGCGCCAGAAGCAGTTTATGACCCACATGACCCAGAAAGCTGTCTGTGGACAAACGCTGGCTCCCTCAGCCTGAAAGCGAGATGAGTGCCGCAACCCCATAGTCGCCTTTGACTGGACTTAACCTTAAAATATCTTTAATACGGTCAATGACCAGCAAGCTGGACTTAACCGTCCAGGGGTCCTTTACCTTTACCTTTACCTAACAACTGGATGCAAGAGTAAGGAAGTAAAGCAAGCAGATTTAATTTTATCGCCGTCATACTAGAACAGTAATATTAAGCAAAACCATAAAAGAGAATGGAATAATTCAACATTAACTCCATTGTAAAATGAAATCTGAACATGAACCAGTAAAGAAAATTCACAGTAGGAAGTTCTATCTTTCCATGTGTTTTATGAGCCAGTAAAAACAGATAAAATGCATCCAACCACATATCCCAAAATAAGACACTAATTATACATTACAAATAAGCCCTCTAGAACCATGAGGAGGAGCCAAATGAGGATCAATTAGTCTTTAGGTCTGATTTGACTTGGAGCAATAAGGTTCCCTGTTCTTCAATTGTAACTGAGCCTCTACCTTAGCCACAGGTTCTAGATACCTTAGATACATAAATGCTCCACATAAAGAAATCAACAAATTCAAAAATAACACAGATATAATGTAAAAATAATAATACTGCCTATACTTTTGAAGTCCATGGTGGTGGGGGACAAGGCTAGATCATTTAGGGGCAGTCTATCTAGCCCAGGCTTCCTCAACCTTGGACCTCCAGATGTTTTTGGCCTACAACTCCCATGATCCCTAGCTAGCAGGACTAGTGGTCAGGGATTATGGGAATTGTAGTCTCAAAAACATCTGGAGGGCTGAGGTTGAAGAAGCCTGGGCTAGATAGTCTGTCCCTCAATGATTACTGAATAGCAATGGATTCATGATTGTCTCTCTTTTTAAAGCAGAGATGGGGAACCTGTGGCCTTTCAGATGTTGTTGACCACAATTCTCATAATCTCTGGCCATTGGTCATGCTGGCTGGTGAGACTGATGGAAGCTGGAATCCAACAGGGTTCTCATCCCTGACTTTAAAGAATTTGGGGGGAATGGGATTCAAAGGATACCCATCCCATGGGTTGTATATACCAGAAGACCAAGTCTTTAAAATACAAGGAACATGCTTGTTTGTTTGTTTGTGAAGCCTTCCATTTATATACCCGGCATACAATTAAAATGATGATGATGATGATTTAACCTCTGGTGCACGGAGCTGTCCAGGTTGCCACAGAAGCCTTCCCTTCCCTTGCGGAGGCAGGTCACTCAAAACAGAACATCCCCAAACATTTTCCAAGCAATAATAAAACTGTTCTCAAGAAATCTACATTAACTCCCAATATGTTCCTTTGTACACTTCTCTCTCTTTGTTCATGCACTTTTTCCTATGAGGCTAACACTGTTCAGAGGGAGGGAGGGAGGGAAATGTTGCTGGTCCATAGAAAAATGCCAAAAATCTACAATAGGACAATACCTTTATTAG